CTTTCCAGTCACCGATTACTTTCCCAAAAAGACAGCGCTGGCATTCTTCGTCACTGAGTTTGATATCTTCATTTCTTATATCCACAATAGAGTCTTCTCTGCCTGAGAGGGAAAAGTTTTCCAATTTCTGCAGGATTTCATCATCCTTTTCCTTGCTAGATTGGGGGTTCATAATAAATTAGGGTTAATGGAGAGACGGGAGAACGGAAAACGCTCGATAGGCTACAATAAGAGAGGAAATCCCCAACTGCAACTAGAGGAGATACAAGATCAAAACAAGGGACCGAAAATTGGTGGAAGAAATCAAACTACAATCGCTCTCCAAGAGAGAATACAATCGCTCTCCAAGAGAGAATACTATTATCTCGTGTGCTAATTTTAAATAGACATGATTTTCTTATGTTGATTTTAGAAATATCTTGACTTTTGGTTTCTTAAATATATTTTACCTTATTGTGATTGCATAGATTTATTAAAATGTATTACAAATGAGAAAGGTGATAGATTATGTAAAGTATAATTTATAAACTGCAATGACATGTTATTTTGATGATATATTTTTTTCTATTAACTAAATAATGCTCCCAATATGAAATTATTTTGGATCTATCACTGCAATTATCTTTCCAATGGAACTTCTATTGAATTTTTGCATAATACCAATAACAATTTTTTCAACGCTTGAAATATGGTCCAAAAAATAAATTCCAATAGAAATTCAGGTAACCGAAATCTTTACATCCACGAAAGTTCATGTAATTTAATTTGAACTCTATTGGAATAGCCAATGAAAGCAACATATTCGTTGAAATTTTCAGTAGAATACCTTACCGTTGAATTTTTTATTGCAGTATAACAAAAATTTTGTAGTCCTCTCAAATATTATTTTTTATGTAGTATTTATTGAGTAATTGTGTTTACAATTTTTCTATTAAAAATATATTAAACACGTGAACTTTTTAGTTCTTATAATTTTTTTTTTCAGAAATCACTCATTATTTTATCTCAAGATTACCTATTAATTTACCAATTAAGTTACATTTCTTACATATTAAATATTATATAATTAAAATATTTCTTGTTTTATATGTTCAATATCATACTTATATATTATAATAAAAAAACTATTATAGTAAATAAAAAATTAATTTAAAATTAGAATAATAAAGATTTTTTTTTTCTAATCTACATGTATAAATGTACAAATAACTATTGTCTATCACCTCAAATTTACACATAAAATTAATAAGAACAAAAAACTTACAAGCGTTTAACAATTCAGTTCGATTACATCGATAAGTATATTTTAGAAGGTTTATATTTATTTATATTAGTTATATTATTTTTGTTTATTAGTTTGTTTTATATTTATTAGTACGTGTCAGAACTTAGTTATTATTCATATTATTTCTTATATTTAATATATTTTTAAAACTTTATCTTATTCTTTCACATTTTCTTAACTATAGATTTGTCAAAAAGACATAATATAAAAAATAGAATTTTTTCGATCATTTGCCTCAGTATATATCAAATATTTGTATATCCTATATTATATTATATTTAAATACAATTTTTTATTAATATTTTAATGAAATATTTACAATTCATAATTTCATTAATAATATTGTCGAGTCACTTTTGTTCATAAAATTTTTAAAAATATATTATTTTCATTGATTTGTTTATGTTGAATAGAGAAAAGTTATGTTTTTTAATTACATATAGGGAGGATATAAGATTTCTTATATTTTTTATGTAGTATTTATTGAGTAATTGTGTTTACAATTTTTCTATTAAAATATTTTAAAAACATGAACTTTTTAGTTCCTATAATTTTTTTTTTTTTTTTCAGAAACCACTCATTATTTTATCTCAATATTATCTATTAATTTACAAATTTAATTACATTTCTTACATATTAAATATTATATAATTAAAATATTTCTTGTTTTATCTGTTCAATATGATACTTATATATTATATTAAGAAAACTAATATAGTAAATAAAAAAGTTATTTAAAATTAGAATAATAAAGATTTTTTTCTAATCTACATGTATAAATATTGTACAAATAACTATTGTCTATCACCTCAAATTTACACATAAAATTAATAAGAACAAAAACTAACAAGCGTTTAACAACTCAGTTCGATTACATCGATAAGTATATTTTTAGAAGGTTTATATTTAGTTATATTAATTATATTATTTTTGTTTATTAGTTTGTTTTATATCTATTAGTATGTGTCACAACTTAGTTATTATTCATATTATTTCTTATATTTAATATTTTTTTTAAAACTTTATCTTGTTCTTTCACATGTTCTTAACTGTAGATTTGTCAAGAACGACATAATATAAAGTATAGAATTTTTTCGATCATCTGTCTCATTATATATCAAATATTTGTATATCTTATTTTATATTATATTTAATTACAATTGTTTAATTAAATATTTACAATTCATAAATTCATTAATAATATTGTCGAGTCAACTTTTGTTCATAAAATTTTTAAAAATATATTATTTTCATTTATTTGTTTATGTTGAATTGAGAAAAGTTATGTTTTTTAATTACATATAGGGTGAATATAAGATTTCTTTTATTTTTATGTAGTATTTATTGAGTAATTGTGTTTACAATTTTTCTATTAAAAATATATTAAACACGTGAACTTTTTAGTTCCTATAATTTTTTTTTCATAAATTACTCATTATTTTATTCCAATATTACCTATTAATTTACCAACTGAGTTACATTTCTTACATATTAAATATTATATAATTAAAATATTTCTTGTTTTATCTGTTCAATATGATACTTATATATTATATTAAAAAAATTAATATAGTAAATAAAA